TGCAAAAAGGAGGACCTGGGGAACTACAGACCAGTTAGCCTCACCTCAATACCTAGGAAGTTATTGGGGCATATCCTAAGGAAGGTCATCTGAAAGCACCTGGAAGAAGAAGGGCTCATCACAAGCAGCCACCGTGGATGAATGAGAAACAAATTTTATTTGGTGATCACTTTTTGAGGCAGAGAAAGCAACCGTGGACTATGAAGGGTGAGCAGCAGCAGTGGCGCTGGGGGCCTTTGGGGGGGGGGCTGTGGCCCCCTTCAAGCCCTGGTGCTGCCCTGCACAGGCCATGGCAGCTTTGATCCCCACTGGTGGCACCCCATCAGGAAGAGGCTCTTGCTCCCCGGACATCATGACAGCGGGTGCTGCTGCCATCAAGATCCCTGACCCCTCACTGCTCCAGCAGCAGGGCGGGAGTGCAACCAGACCCAGCTGGTATGGCCCCTTAGGCAGTGGTGGCCAGGGTAGGCAGATTCTTCTTCAGTCCCCCAGGGGCTGACAGGGTAGAAAGGGAAATAACCCCCCTCCCTGACACCCATCTAAGGTTTTCATGCTGGCTGGCATCTGGCTGCATCCCTGCCACTGCAGCAGTGAGGGGGGAGAGCCCGGCAGACCCTGGCTTGTATCTATGGGACAGGGAGGGTGAATTCAACCCCCTCCCTGGCCAGCTTATTCCAGGCTACTGACGATGCTGGCCATGCACCCCCTCCTCCCCCCCGGCACAGCTTTCCTGCAGCCAAGGGCATGCTCTAGTGCCCCTCAGCTCCTGGCCTGAGCAGCTGCAGGCATCTGCCTGCACTTCCTCAGTCCAGAGGGTATTATGGTCAGTTGCAAACTGATTCAATCTACACAGGTTAGAGTAACCTGCAAAGATTGAATCAATTCAGGTTCTGGCTTTTTAATGTCTGTCCCTAGCTTTTGTGATCTCGTATCTGTCTGTTTTGGTTTATACTTAGAAAGTAATCTCCTTAGGGCTGTTTTTACTTTGTGCCTGTAGAGTGACAATGAAGTCTTAGGCTATAACACGAGATCCTAGGCATTATGATGATGCTACTTCCAATACAATAAGTGGAAAATGGTCTGGACATTGCTGCTCTGAAACAGCCTGGGAAGAAGGGACAGAACAGAATGCCCAGCTACACCTCAAAGACACCTCTAGGTAGGTGACAGGTACAGTGTGTCTTAGTTGAAAAGGAAAAGGAAGCCATAACTTGTGTTAGATTTCTGTTAGGGCCAGGTGGAGCATGAAGAATCACTCCAGATAAGTGCTGCTGAAAACCAGATGGGCTTTGGAGGTTAGAGGGGGAACCTTATAAGACCGAAAATAAATATTTTTCTTCTGTCAAGTAACAATTAGATATCAACATCCAGACTGATCTTTCTCCACCAGAAATGTATGTCTTCTTATCCATCATTTATTATATTCAGTACAATTTATGGTTCAGAAATAACATCATAGAATTTATCATTTTATGGAATAGATATCTGCTTTATGGTTCCTTCCTTTTTCCTGTTTTCCAGAAATGCTATGTATTCTACTAAACTTTTTAGGCTGCACTACTGCATTGATCGATAGCATGCTGAACTACTCCATAACTTTTTTCACTGAAAAAAATATTTCCAGATATATGATATTAACAGCCTTAGCAGAAATATAAAATGAGTCATTAATAGGAGTCACAATAGAAACAAATATTAAGGTAGCATTATAGTGATGTTGTAGCTGTAATGGTCCAAGAATTGTGTGAAAGGCAAGGATTTTTCTTACACAGTTGAAACAAATATCTTCAGTAGCACTCATTCACTACTTTCCATAAAAGTAAGAAGGGATTATGAAATAACAGCTCTGTGACAGACATCACGTTGTTGGTGAGTAAATTGCTAAACACTGCAAAGAAGTAGAGTACTAGCTTTTGACCTTTATTTCATCCTATTTTGCCAAACAATGGTTGGAATGTTATAAATAACCAAGTTTTATTTTGAAAAAGAAACGAATGTTATTGCTTGGTTTCATTTACAAACTTAAAAACTGAAAGATGTAAACACGTAAAGCACAAAGAGATTATGAGAATAATTTTGATTTAATATGATTTAGGCTGCATGGCATGAAACATCTTTAGCTATTCTCTCTGCCAAAAAGGTCAGATTTTGCCAGGCTTTTCTTTGGTAATGTATGGATATAGGTTGTGACTACTGCAAGAAATTTTTGCCCCTCTTGTTCTCAAGTATTAAGCGTCAAACTTTGCTGAAGGATAACAGAGGAATTGTTCCCTTCTGTGCACTACAGTGTCAGTGAGACTATGTTATAGCAGTTTCCAAAAGTGTTATTTGTTGCAGAGCTGCTCCTAACGTGATGATTAAATGGCACAAGTGGGCATATCTAAATGAGACACTTTACTGTGCAGTAGACTAATCTACTGCACAATAAAACATCACCATCTAAACATGCACAGCATTTACTACACAATAAGTTTGTTTACTGTCCAGCTGGCTACTACCTGGTAGTAGATTTACCACATAGTGGGTGCGTCTACACATTCATTAATGTGCCGTAGTTACTGCATATTAAGTTTAGTACTTGGATAGCCAAGTACTAAATTAATGTGTAGTAACTTGTGATATTGAGCAGTAGTGCTGGTGCAGTTTTTTAGTGACGTTAACTGTGCAGTAGCCTAATACCACTGCACAGCACCATATTAGCACAGTTTTTGCTCAGCATGCTACTGTTCAGTTTTATTAGGCTACTGAGCAGTTAGCATCTTGTATAGACGTGCCCAGTAATGCAGGTGTAGAAAGCTAACTGGAATTGCTTCCAGTCAGCTCAGTCCCCTTCCCCAGGCAACTGCTTGCTTTCCAGCCCCCACTTGGAGATATCAAGCAGGGGCTGGAACACCATCCCCTGCTCTACGCAGCTGCCTGCTGCCCAACCCTGCTCCCATCTCAGTCCAAGAATTCACACTAGGCAGCAAGTTACGATCTCGGAGTAGCGGCTGGGCAGGAGGCAACTACCCAGGGTGGGCTTGGGAGGCAGCAACCCTGGAGGAAGGACAGCTCCCCTTGTCTCCCAGAGCCCAGTCTGGGGTGGCACCTAAAGGAGCCTGTAGCTCTCCCTGGCTGCTATACAGGGGCAGAGCAGGGTCAGAGTAACCCGGCACTGAACTGTTCCTGTCAGACATGTATAGATGTGCTCCCAGGGAAACTATACTGTGCAGTAAACGTAGAGCACATTAATAGCATGTGTAGACATGCCCAGTGAGTCCTACAAGTCTGAATATTTTATTTAGAAAATAAATAATATATATATATATA